CTTTGGTTCAATAAATGCAGGGGAAAATATGTCTGAAAGGTAAAAAAAAACTGGAGGATTGATACAAAAAAGCAACAACAATAACGTATACACTTCATTCATGTCATCACATATTTCAGTTCACCTTTTTGTGAACCAAGTAGCCAAAGTTTGGGGTCATAATCAGCAAATAAAAAGGAGTAACATTACAAAGCAAAATGTAATTATAAAAAAAAAAAAAAAAAAGTCTTACTTAAACCTGTTCAATCAGATTGTAGAGGTAATAGTATGTATTTGGATGATGGTAATTAAACCAGTACAGAATCCATACAGAGATTTAGCACAAGGATTATCAAGAGAAGAACTGAACCCGCAACCTTCTGTTAGTTCAAAACTATGCGATTGCTGGACATTCCACCTTAGAGATGCACCTAGAACACCCCCAGTCTGAGTATCAGTATAGACTAAATAAAAGGGGGAAAATTAGAGATCTTCCTGTGGAGTGTTTGTGGAGTTTTAAATATCTATTACTTTGTTGAAAGTTAAATGTTTAAAATCTGATGGTAATTTAATCAGTACAGAATCCACACAGAGATTTAGGACAGAGATTATCAGGAGAAGAACTGAACCAACAACCTTCTATTAGTACAAACCACTTGATGCCAAAACCAACTACTGCAACTACTGAACATCCCACCATAGAGATGCATGTTGAACACCCCCAGCACACTTAATGAGAGGTTTGCAAGAGGGTGAATAGTCTTAACACGTCATATAAGTTTTATAAATTGGTGGACTACCCAACCAACTGGATAATAATTTGCTGTGAAGAAAGTACCAGACCATCTTGCTTTTCAACAGAAAGTAGGAGGGGCTAGCTCACTTTGCTACCCTTTTTCCTTCATGGGTAATATGGCTCCTCATGTCAGTCAATTAAAAATGTCCATAAAGTGCCACTTGCTATTATGGTTAATTGGGAGTGGAACTCCCAATTAACCATGATACTTTTAGCAGCAAGATTCAGCTAAAAATTTTGTGAATATAAAAACCATGAAATAGATCCATGTATAGTGGATTGACATCTCTAATTAAATGAAGCTGGGAGGTCATTTACACATGGTCTCATTATACACTAAGCATACCTACAAATACGTTAAAGTGGCAGTAATTCAGTAATAATTGTGAGGGTAACTTTGTAAATGTCATCCTTCTTCACTTTTACAGAAATAGCTATAGGATACCAAGATGTGAATATCCAACCCACTAACTAGCTTACCACATGCTGTTCTAATTGGAGTGTGAATGGCACAAGCAAAGGTGCAAAGTTAGGATAAAAATAAGTATATATCTTTATCTGTACTATATCGCAAATTGGAAGTAGAAAGAAATCACACAAAAAACATGTCAGTGGGATAGCAATGACTGAATACAATGTGAATGAACATATTATGTAGTAAGGGAGTCCATAACCTGCTTGTCTCCATGGAGATGTTACTGCTTTGTCTGAGATGTCCCACAGCATGGCATAAAGTTTATCTGTCCTACATGTATTCAAGTGCAGGTGTTATTATTACAGCAAACTGAACTTTAATAATGTGCATTCTTGCTGTTAGCAGGGTCACCGCTCTACAGATCTGACCTGTAACTTAGCCTGCATGTGTAACCTGCTCATCTCTATGATGAATGTCAAGGTTACATAGTGCACTTTTAAATGTGTGTTCTTTGAAACTCCACGCACTAGAATATTTACCAGTATAACACATTTTGGAGTGTAGTGAGCCACCAATACTTATGCAAAACATGTCAGTCGACACCTCCACTATTTCCACTCCAACTTTTCACACACTCTACAAATGTTATACCACATTTAAATCACTCATGAAGCACTGAATTATGCAAGAAAAAGAGGTAGGAGGCGGTCAAATACCTTCACACATTTTTAAACCAGTGCAAATCGGCTGCTAAAGTAATCCATAAATGTGCACAGAATTACTCACAGCCACTTGGTAGTATTATACAATATGGACATAAAAATAAACTAATATTGCGATTTGGTGTATAGACCACAGTGCACTCAACACTGGGACCACACAAACCTTATGTTGTCCTTTTACCACTTGAATCACCATGGTTACTTACTTTGGATGACTTTTGAGATATAATGGCCACTGGAACTACAAGATTTGCGAAGTAGCAATTGCTTTGTGAACAAGAATGTTTCGTCTCCATGGACGCTTAATCAACTAACCCTGTGCTTTTTTAGACCGTTACGATGCAAGTGGCAATGTTCAAAAATGCATAGGATAGTTGTATTAATTTAGTTCATATTTCAGTTCTCCCTCAATGCTCCTGAATGCGTTCAAAATGTGCACCATGTACTCAATCCAAGTAGTTAATAATTTTCAAATGCATTTTTTTCATTTCATTCTCAATAAGCATGTTGACAACAAATGAACTATAAAGTACATCCTGGCTTCTATATAGTATACACCATTTAAAACAGGGGGCTCAGTGATTATAGCAGTGGTCCACCAACCCAAAGGTCAGAGGATCAATTAGTGCAGTGTTATTGTGCCCTTAGGCAAGACACTTCACTCACATCGCCTAGTATCAAAGTGGTGTTTGCGTGACTGATTGGTAATGGACGAGAAGCTTACCATCTCCGAGTGTGGAGTGAATAAACAATGTCTATCATGTCGTGCTTTGAGAGACTTTGACAACACCTACAAAGCACATTACAAGTGCTACCCACTGTTATTATTATTATTACCATTTTACTGTTGCAACACTAATGTTACTATCCAATCTGCTATGTGGTGATAAAGTTGTGGCTAGTACATGTCAGTCACTGAATGTGATCAAGTCTCAGTAGAAGCCATATGCCACATCCCCTGAGCATGTTAGATAACACAGTAACCAGGTGTGTTAGTGATCAAATGTGCCTAGTGGACAGCCGGGGGAGCTGCCACTAGACTGTGTGCTAAACTGGGCATCCTAATGAAATAAAAGGGCCGGGTGCAACATTGAGTTACCTGTAAAGGCTGGAGCTGTTCCACCGAGACTGAATAATGCATTTAATGGTTTGGCACAGAAATGTATTTTCCCCACAGCCCCCTGTCAGCAGAAGGATGGAGGGAAAGGTAGAAAGAACAAAAACAAACATGCAGGGAGGAGGACCAACAGCCAATTGAAATATGGAGAAGAGAATAGTCAAGGGAGATGGCAAGAGGGCGGAGAGGGGAGGCAGAAAGCACTGTTTGCAAATCACAAATTAAAAACATAAGCGTTCTACACACCATACCATGTCCCATAGGAAATATACAGCTTTCTGAGTAAAAAAGCAAATTTGGAGCAGGGATCTAGACACAGACAGCCCTGGCCTCTTTCCATCACATAAAGCACCAGCTGAGAATGCAAAACTACAGACTACAATAACATTTAGCAGATATCATTGGAATTGTACCACTTTCTCGCTTCACTGGCAACTCCATTGCAATATATAGGCAGCACAGTCACACTCTATTTGACAAATGGCCACAGTAGTAATGGTAATTTTAAAAAGTGAATGATACTTTGACAAAGACAGAAAAGAGAGGATTTGAGCTGACAACTGAATTTTCAGCCATGGTGAATTAATAACTTTAGCGGGTCCCACTGACAGTACGGGGGCATATATGAACAACAATGAAACAGCATAAACACAAATATGAACTTGCAATTGATACACATCACACATAATGGCTGCTTTTCGCATTCACAGCTGTATATTTATTTTCTGACATTTAAACAGTTATTTGATATAATGTAAGGACAATAATAAGTCTTAGAAAAAGAAGGAGTCTTAGAAGGACTCTTTACAATACATGAGATTATAAAATTGGACTGGAATGTTTCTGTGATAACTTCATTGCCACATTGGGGTCATTCCACCTAAATTCACCCCAAAAAATTGCAATTTGAACCCTCGCATTGTCCAATTGCAAAGAAAATTGGTGTATGGGTAAGTCATAGCCAACAAAGCCAAAATCTCAAATTTTAGCACAATCAGAGTAACGGTCTCCGAGATATCGCAATTTCTTTTTTCACTTTTTTGCGTGGTCGCCAAATTTCAAATTGTATTTACTCTGTAACTACTGGTCCAGTATCAAAAACCAAGGTATTTCTAGAAAGTGGAAATCATAAAGAATCCAAATCTATTTTTGCATTTGAGTACTTTTGAGATGATTTACCTTTTGACCTATATTTTGACCTTGAAACTGACAATAAGGGACACGCCCGACCTCAATGACACCAATAGAAAAAATTTAACCTTATACATATATTACAACATAATGAAAATTCTGGATGGGTTTTCTTTTTTACTTTCACACAAAGTTACCTAGAAGCTGACTTACCCCTATGTTGAGATATGCTAAATATCCATGTAAAATTAGAAATTTTGGCTTTTCTGGCTATGATTTACAATATATATCAAGTTTCATCAAAATTTGACAAAGTAGGGTTTAACTCATTGGGTGAACTGAGGTGGACTGACCCATTGCCATAGGTCATCCACCGTTATCATCATCACAGAACCTGATATGTGAATATTGACAGTGTATTGACATTTTGGAGCTCATATCATCAACGTTCCCTGGGGATGTGATGCAAACTGTAGCTCTGTCTGAATCTCTGTTATTCAAATTAAACTTTCATCTGGGCCTTAATTTAATGTAATCTGACCAGAAAGATCTGATTTAGCTGTAACTACAACAGGTGATCTGAGTTGTACTGTTAAACACGTCTGTCAGACATCAAATTACAGTCACAAGATAGCTCGCTCAGTTAGTCACTTTCACGATTTTTTTCAGTTTTCAGACTATCTTAAAATGTTTTTTGGCTGTGTTTGCTAATGTGTGCATTGTGTCATCATGTTAACTTCCAAACATTGACCCATACAAATACATGTAGAACACTCCGAGCGTGATGTCACCAGAAAGTATCAATATCAGCGTTTATAAGAAGATCAGTTTTGTACTCACCTCCCTGGTCTGTGCTGACGGTGATGAAAGCCACTTGCCGAGGGAACGAACTCAAGTCGGACACTCCGTTGAGCGACTCGATCTCAAAGGTGTAGTTGGCGTGAGCGGAGAAGTCGGTGACGGTGACAGTGGCGTTGGTGAGCCCTAGTGGTCGGGGCAGGAATCGCAGCTCCTCTTCGCAGATGTGGCACTGGTCCGGCTCCGGTCCACAGCGCTTACACTGGACGTTGTAGGTGAGGTCTCGGCGACCCCCGGTGTCACTAGGAGGGGACCACTCCAGTAACAAAAAGGAGTCATTCAGGTTAAACATCAGGTTACGAGGAGGAGAGGGAGGACCTGCAAACAACAGAGACATTGTTTTATTTATTTATTTACTTGGCTTTTACGGCCATTTTGATAGGACGGATATGGCTTAAATTGGGGAGAGAGAGGGGAGAAACATTTGGCAAGAGGTCAAGGCTGGGAATTGAACCCTCAATGCCAAGGTGGTAACGCTTCACTAAACCACTACCACTAACACCAGCAAGCACCAACGCAAACAGTACTGATACAGGGCAGATTTTAGATTGTTTTGATTGTACTGGAAAGAACTTTAGATGCCTTAAGTTTTGAAAAGGGATCTTTAATAAACACTGACTCATTGATATTAAAAACTGAGTTAGTAAAGTGCTCATTCTGAATCAATGTATGAATAGTTAAAATAATTAGTGCTGTCATGCGATTAAAAAAATTGAGAGATTAATTAATTATGATCTGTAATTAATTAATCTAATTAATCTCATTTTAATCTCACCTAAAAATTGCTGAGAAAAGCCTTCAATTTGAGGTATTTTCATTTAAATTCATTATTACATTATTGTGGCAGATCAAAAGACTGATATAGATTAAAAAAAGTGACTTTATAAAGTCATTTATTGTTTAACAAATCTCTTCAAATTGGCTGTTGAGCCCAAGTCTCCATGAATAAGAAACTGTTTGCTGTAAAGTAGCAAAGACGAGGAAATCTGAACATAATAACTTTTGTCTACTTAAAGACAGTAAAAAGTCCAGTCTTTCCTTAACCATATAAAAAATATTATTGATAGAGAAATGCTTTATATATGAGATCACTGGTTTTAGTCCTTGTTTTAGTCCTGGTTTAGACCTGCTTTAGTCCTACTTTAGTCCTAGTTTAGTCCTGGAATGAATTAATCCTGGTTTTAGACCTGGTTTTAGTTCTGGTTTTAGTTCTGGTTTAGTCCTGGTTTTAGTTCTGGTTTTAATTCTGGTTTAGTCCTGGTTTAGTCCTGGTTTAGTCCAGGACTGGATTAGTCCTGGACTGGATTAGTCCTGGTTTTAGTCTTGGTGTTAGTTCTGGTTTAGAGGCGCAGAGGAGGAAGCGCGGTTTACGCAGCGATCCACACGCGGCGCATGGAAGCACGTCGGTGTCTGCGCAGTGTCTACGGAAGGAAACGTGGTCCTCGCGTTCTCAGGTTAATGACGATGATGAAGGTGTGTGTTTGTGTTTGTGTGCGTGTCCCCTCATGTGGCAGGTCACTATAGGACAGTAGTGCAGACATCATGAGCCTATGCATGTTGTTTTCACCAGTGACATTTAAGTTGTAGGCGATTTTATATTTGTTATTTTCTTTTATATTTCACGTCGGGAGAATAATTTCCAAGACACAAATGTGTTTTTACCTGTGCACTGCTGACTCTGTTCTACTGGCTCTTCCACCTCGTCCATTGTGCGACTGACGCCGCCAACGTTAACATGACGTTTACATCACTCTTACTGCGCGCGTTTTGTGTGGGTTTCCGGCAATGAGTGGAATTATCGAAATAAAAAAATGTATAAATGTGTTTTTTTGTGTGTGTGTGTGTGTTGTTGTTCCAACAACACATAAAAACAGGTTTTATAATAAAGCAACTCGCATACAGAAACAGTAAAGTTAGAGATTAAAAATTAGATTAACGCAATTAAAAAACATAACACGCTAAATATGACTGTAATTAATTAATCGCAATTAACGCGATAATTTGACACCCCTAAAAATAATATCATCATAAATTAAATTATCAAATAAATTATCATGCTGTTGGTTTTGAGCAAGACAACCTTTGGAGCTCTCTGGGTTGCAAATAACATTGTAAATAGGAGGTAAAAATAAACGTGGGTATACCACATTAATAGATAAATATTGCTGACCAAAAGTTTGCAGGTAAAAAGCATTTCCGAAGTTTAGACTTGAAAAACCTCTAAGAAACATATTAAAACAGAGTATAATTCATTCATTTTAATTTCAGTTCATTAAAATAAGATCTTTCTTATGTGGTCCACTGCACACACTTTCTAAACTGTATTTTTTGGTTTGTGGAGTAATATTAACCCTACCACTGTGAAGGAACAGCAGGGAACAAGGCAACGTAGAAGTAAACAAAATGTGTCTCAGTGCAATTATTTATTCATTTATTCAAGTTTGCAACAGATTTGCAATTTAAAACTTAGTGATTATCGACTTTGTAAAAGATATCAGTGCATTGCTGTACCTATGATCAGCACATTATAATCGATTTACAAACAAAATATTATAAATGCTGTGATGTTTGTAAATATGATCTAAAAACATGAATCAGTAGGAGGCAAGGCAATGGTGGGTAAGAAATATGAGAGAAGTTGAAAAACACCAATGAAACCTAATCTGCAAGCTGTGCACAAAGCTGGCCTGACTTCTTAAACTTTTTTGGGCTCCCTAGATCGCAGTTAACTTGTCAAACTTTCTGAAGAATTGTCAAAATTGGAATAAACACGGGTATACATTGGCAATGGGAAAACATAACAATGTATGGTTCTTGGCTCATGCAAACGCATTCACAGAGGGTGCGTTTGTGCATGGGGTACGCATTGTGTTGGAGCAGGCTGCAGCTGTCAGCCGGGCGGAGTTAAAAGACCTGGGGGATCGGAAACGTCCCGTCCTGCCAAGCTCACTGTCTGCTTGTACAATGGGATGTTTTCCCCTCCCCAGACGACTCCTCCCCCTGTGTTACCCCTGCAGACTGCACTGATTCCTCCCACGCATCTTGCTCTGTCATTTTTATTGCCAGTACTATAGGAAGAAGCATGTATTCTGTGCTACATTATAGTTTTTGACAAACTATTTTAAATATAAAATGAACTGAAGCATAAAACAAGTCAAAAGTGTTTGAAACATTAGATTTGTCGCATCAAAATCGAGTTTGACATTTCAGTATCATAACACATCTGATATAGAGAACATTTCTGAACTGAAAATTTGAAGTTGAAATCTCAATCCTGATGCAATATGTTCGGTAATTTAAGAATAAGTAATCTAACTAACTAGATAAAACATCTGAAAACATGTGATTATGAAATGTGATGTAAATAAAACAGTTTTTTGTTTTTCGTTAAATCATCTCACTGAAATATTGATGCTCCACAGTGCATTCAAAAAATCTACCTTTTAATATTAATGAGATTCATTTGTAGAATTATTCCTTGTCTCTATATCTCAAAATGTAGACCTATACAAAGAGAACAACTTCCCCTTTTTTAATCTCCCTGTATCTCCTCCCCGCTTTCCACCCGGGACAGTCCCCCTGTGAGCCCCGCCCCACAGAGCTGCCCCACTGTCATCAATCAGCCCGCTCTCCTTCAGGGGGGTAGATGGTATCGCGCGATCCCCTCGCCAGCTCTACCTCTCTTCACCTTTATCGCACTCAGGTGACACCCCTCCCTCCGTCTTCAGGCCTAAACTCTTTAATCTCCATTTCAATTCCTCACTTGAAGGAAATAGTTTATGGGCTGGGCCAGGAGGAAGCCCTGTTTTACAATGCATCACCACGACGACAGAGAATGTGCCTTATAATTGGGTTTAGAGGACATTTGCTTGTGGTCACAGTTAAAGTACTGGTGTCTCCACTGGTAGTACTGTGGCATCTCCACAAACCTGACTCCTACTTGGCCTAGAGGAGTGCCTCGATCTGCTCGTCTCCATGTTGCTCCTTTGGCTGTCATTTTCCACAGTATGGCAGAAAGTCTTTCTCCATTAAAATGTTCTGACGTATGTATGGTTTTAACTTTCTATGTCCCATGGGATTAGGGATGTGCCACCTCCAGAAAGTTACATGGTGTTACTTTAAAAACAAAGAACATAAGTTACTTGATATATGTATATAATACAGTTGCCTCATTCATCCTCTATTCTGAATGTCTCCATCTCTAAAAAAGTGCAGCTCCACTGTAACATGCCTTTAAGAGCCACAGACAGCCTGGTGAGCTCTGCGCACGGCCACGTCTATCTCATGACAGCCAAATGGATTTTTAATTAAAGCAGAATTAGTCCAGTTAAACTGTAATTTAATGCAAATATGCAGTCTTAATGACAGTTACAGACTCACAGACCAGAAGAGGCAGGCGTGTGACCCATAGACTCTAATGCACTAGAAGAACACAGCTGTATCTGTAATCATTTATCACCCAGTTAAAAATACAAATAAAGTGAACTGTGGGCTGTTTTGCAAGATTTAATGCCACATTGTGGAATGTTCTATGAACGTGGTGACGAGCAAGTGGCAGACCTCCAGAAATAAGAACTGCCTAAGCCCACTGATCAATTATAACTAAAAGTGTACATTAAAAGTACATAAAAATGTATTGATTTATTGTAAAAGCATTTTTATTTTAAGGCTTCTGATTCTCCGTGAGGAATGGTGTGATCAAGAACCAACTATTATTACTGATCTCAACTGTAAATTTTCTTTTTGATATTTCAAATTAAATTTCAGTGTAAATGATCCCTGAAAATGTCTCTTATCCTTCATTAGAAAGCATTATCACATTGTACAGACATCAAACCAACAATCCAGCAGTACTCACGCGTGCAGGCCATAGTGGGCGGGTCTTTGTCTGCGCGGTAGAAGCCCGTCTCACAGCGGCACACGGCTGAGCCCTCACTGAAGCTGAAGCTGTGAGGAGGACACTTGGAGCACTTTATGTTTCCAGCGAACGCCTTGAAGAAGCCCGGGTGACACGCTGAGGACAGACACACAAAAACAAAAGACATTAGGCCAAATCTGAACCACTCATGCAATTCAAGTTTTACTTTAAGTCGTAATCAAAACACTGCTAAAAACATTACTAAAATGTGTCACTATGTTTCTGTGATATGAAGTTGTGAGTGTGAAGCTTTGTGTGCATCACATAATAATCATGCTTTTAAATAAATGCAACTTACACCTGTGGCACATCTGTAAAATAACTTTTTCACATACTCTATTTGAATTCAGAAAGCAGGAGAGAGCATCTTGCTGAAATGCTTCTAACAAATATACAGTTTAAGGAGCTGTACACAATTTTTACCATCTCAAAAATATGAAATGAGTTAAATGAAACAGTTTGCAGTGGTTCAAACTCATTCCTCACTTTCCTCATGCATTCTGAGCAAGTATTCACCACTTTTTGTTTTACATATGTTTCACAACCTGGGGCCAAAGCAGAACATCCTAATAACAGCCTAATAACAATAAAAAAATGCTATTATTACAAGGAATCAGAGAAGGACATAAAATGGAACATTGTGCAGTTGTACGTGTGCACTGCTAACCTCCTTCTATCCCGTCTCTACTACAGCTGCAGGACTCCCCTCAGCCTCTCAGACTCTTTATTTTCCCCGCAGGTGACTCTAGACACTTTTCCCAATCAATCACAGCATCAATGATATCTCTGACAAGGTCTACCCATCAAACTTTATCCCTCCATAAATTACTCATAACTCATCAATTATCTGTCTCCTCTTGGTAAAATACAACCCTCAAACTCTGGATCTGAAAAGAACAAACAACAATGTAATCAATAAATAAAGCCGACTTCTTTGTCAGAGAGGGGTGTATTTAGGTGTCCAGCCTCCACATTCCCATTTGCTGCAGTTTGTCAGTGAGTTCATCGATTTCACAAGCAGCGACAGTGCGGGCCCAGATCACCTTGAAGAGGCCACAGTCTCTGAGCTGTGAGCGTCTCTGCTGTGCTGATGAATGGAGCTGCAGGGGACAAGGAAGACCCCCACACCAGAGAGATCTTCAAACACAGACAACAACGAGAACACGGGGGACGGTTTAAATATAGAAATTCTATCTTAGAGTTGTATAATTCATCTAGATTGAGATTGATAGAAATAAATGACAGCACTGTTATCCTTGCATGTAAATTGTCCCTGCATTTTGCTTGAACTTTTCAGTGTTGATGACAAAGGGAGAGGTATTCTGTATTTTTGTCATTTTACGCTGTTTTTTTGCTTGTTTTTTTGTGACAAACTTAAATTGTAAAAAACAAAAATAATAATAAATGGTTTCACTTCATAGAAACCGTCTGACCTCGCAGCTTTGGAATTTGTTCGTTCGACGATATCATTTTTATTTCATTGGTGTCATTTAACCAATCGCTGCTATTTGGTCGTGGTATGTAATGCGCCACTAACGGGGCTAACTGGTATATTAAGCTTTTCCCAAATCCCATAGGAGAGAGCAATATCTTCTTTCCCCTTGATGAAATTCACCAAACATTCTCTTTATCCGAACTTGCACTTCCGGGTTTTTTGCGGACCGTCTATTGTATTTTGATTCCTGACCTAGTTGCTGGAGAAAAATGAAATTGAGCAGAAGCAGTAGGTGGCGCCAGCCTTGCTATTAAATCATTGCATTATTTCTGAAAAAGAAAAGAAAAATTAAGTGAAAAAAGAATGAATGTGAATTTGTATATTGGAAATTATTATTGATAGAAAGTTTTATTAAATAGACAATTTGGACAGCTGAAGGTCATACTGAAACTGCTGAAACTATGGGCAGTTCTGGTAGACAAACAGGATTATTATAGTAATAGTAATAAAAATAGTAATAATCAGCTTTCTTCCTTTCTTTCTTCTAACTTCTTTTTTTAAGTGAATATATGTACAGTGCAGTTTCTATTTAAACCACTGCCATCACGGTCTATGTTTAACACTATGATGAGTTGCATACCCAACGGCGGACCAAGGCTGCCTCTGTCATTAACCTCTGATATGGAGTTGTCCTTGAGTCAAAATCTGTCACTCACCCCTCATATTAACCCTGCACCCCAGCCCCCCCGGCCCACACACCTCCCCCACTCTGCCGGACCCTGCTTTAGCCAGTCAACCTAATGATGCCACAGTCCGACCTCAGCAGAGCGGTGGGGATGTTTTGAATCCTGCCCTGCTCCACTGCGGTCTATCTGGCCCGGACCAATGGACCCAAGGCCACTGCACACGAGGAGGGACACACAAATGATGGCAGAGAGGTTATATCACGCACACATACGCACACATGCACACACTGGGAAAGGGGTCTTGGCAAAGCTGGTGACAAACGGTGGACTTGACCAGAGTGGACAGCCTGTCAATATGAGTGAGACCTGGATATTTTGACTGAAGAGAGACAAGCGGGCACTTAAAGGCGAAGTCTGCAAATCAAAATGTCATGCTTTTTGGTCCATCAAGGTCAACATGCTGCGAAAGGTTAGTCAAAACTTAAATATAAAGAAACATGTGAGAGAACTGTACTGACAATGTGAAAAAAAAAAAAAAAAAAAAACCTATGAATGAGAATGTTACATTGTGCACTTTTAACATGCAACTAAAGCACAAATATATTTGCATATTGCAAGTTTTATAGCTGTTGTACACTGAAAGTAGCAAATTTTACAATCTTGCCATGCAAGATGAAAACTATAAACAAAAACTATAAATCTAACCCCTGCAGTCTCTTTTCTCGCATTCTGATTATAAGAAACATCATAACAATGGCAGAAGTCTGCCATATCTCTCTCTATATACTTTACTACTAGCCATGTTAAGAAAGAGATAGCTACATTTATGGTATGTATGGAAAATACATTTCTGGTATCAGCTGCATTCAGGTTTATGCATGTGATAGTATATGGCCATATTTTAAAGAATATTTCCAGAACGATATGTGAAAGTGTAATAAAATGTGTTGAGCGGAATATTAGCATACACAATCTCATGCATGTTTCGATATCTTTACTTCACACGTAAATATAGATGCACAGCAGATATGTCTAAAGCATAGGTGTGTGTATGAGGCGAAGCCTGAATGAAGCCTGCGGGGGGCGCTGATCTACTCTGAGCCCTTTGCCCAAGGTTAATGAGGTCTGGAAGTGTTCCAGAACATCTCCAAGAGCTGAGTCCACAGTCCCAGCTCGGAGTCTCCGCTCAGGCCCCTTCAGACCAGAGCGGACCACATGGAGCTGAACCACTACAGCACATAGAGTGGTTTAAACTTCACTGTCCATCACACCCATCTGCCCCTCTGTCCTAAATTATACAGGACGACTAAGTCTAATCGAGTGATCTCAGCCCTGTAGAAATTGCACATTACCACATTACAAGAGCATGCTAACACCTCATTTCCTTTGGCTAATAGTCAGGCTATTCCAGCTAAAAGACCCAATCACATCCAGGAAATAGACTTAAAGCTCCATCTACTTCAGAGTGTGAGAGTGAGTGCAGAGGAATGAACAGGTCGTGGACGGAGGCCGGTGATGGGTCCCTCTCCAGCGAAGAAGAACAATTCCAAGAGGAGCACAATTCTGCAGCATTTACTATCAGAACCACATCAACAAATGTTGCAGAATAGTTCAGCTCTTGAAATCAAAAGAAGCCAGCGAGGTGAGCGAGGAGGAGGCCAAGCAAAGGATGAGTTGCAGAGATGGGAAGATGCAGCCTGAAAGTTAGTGGAAAAATGGAGAAGAGTGATCCTACACTTTCATTGTCACATCACATACATGGCTTATACTTGACTTACAATACTCATACCTGTACAAAACCATAATCATGGTGTGTTAATTAACAATACACAGCATACTAATAATGTCCATATATTCAATGTAGGACAATTTCCATGAACAAAAAGGTTGTTTTTATCATTTAATTGTTTTGGGACAGCCCTCTATCATACCCAACAGGCATTAAAACATTATTGCTTACAGAAGTGCCTTAACTTTTGTACACAAAGGTACATTTTAACTGTACACAGCAAAACACTGCTTTGAGTGGTGAGGCTAAAAGTGACTCAAGTGCAATCTTTCACAAACAGGAGATTACACAATTCTCAAGTTTGCCTAGAGAAAATGTCATCAAATCTTTGGTTCAGTAATGTAACAAAACAATCCCATCCATTTTGCTCTCTAAAGAAACAATCTTCATTCAAGTTATCACCAACACAAGTGGATTGGCCTAAGTGTCATCTATATTTGAACGGCTTCATCTCTCTCTGTACAGCACCTACAAACACTTTAAAATGACTGAAATAGCACGTCTCTCTCTTAGCGTCTCTTACAAAGCCCTCCTCTGCCTCCTCTGAATCATTACACATGTAATCAGGAACAGCACTCAGAGGCTCTTCAAATGAACAGGCCTCTCTCTCTCTCACCCTCTCTCCCTCTATCTCTCTCCCTCTCTATCACCTTCTCTCTCTCTGCACTCACTTTATTTATTTTGCTCCGATAAGGCGCTATCTGTGATTCACACTGGAGAATGGAGAGGCACTTCTCAGAACATTTCAGCTCAGGTCTTAACAAAGATGTTTCTTAATTAGTGACAGAAGGCAAGCCCCCAGTAAAAGAAATAAAACAGGCTATTAATTAAAGATGCACAATGTAACTTTTCTGGTGGAGTCCATGGAGATGTTGTGTTGCCTGGAATGTTCCATCATATGGCATTCAACTTACCTTAACTCTGTGGAGTGGCAACCTAGCTCAGGGGGGAAAAAAATACAAATTCTAATATATATTCAAGGTAAACACTGCTTCTATCAATCAATCAATCAATCAAACTTTATTTATAAAGCGTTCACACTCACATACATAACATGCTAAAATACATACAACTACACTTAGTAAAATGTGAGGCTGAATACAGGTGAACCAGCTGAGAAAGCACCATCAGAGGAGCCGTCTACACCACGAGCAGAGAGCCGTCAGCCGCCACCAGGAACGACCAC